ATGATAACAATCCTACTACTAATTACCTGCATTTGATCTGAGTCGTTACTGACCAAAAACGAGTCAGCACCAAGATATTTAATAGCTCCATCCTTTTTTTTTGGGGATGTACTAATCACTGTGACTTTAACCCCAAAAGCCTTTGCAATTTTCACAGCTAGATGACCAATCCCTCCGAGACCTACCACCCCAACATGCATACCTGGCTTGTCGAGTTTAAAATATCTCAAAGGGCTGTAAGTTATTATTCCAGCACCTAGAAGGGGATCCCAAAAATCAAGATGCAAGTTACTAGGCCAGTGAAACAAAAGTTTTCGTTTGCTAATTTCATGTCTGGTTTGTGCAGTATTGTTAATTTAATTTGCCGTGTCAAGAATTGTGACTCTTACCTAGAAGGGGAGCACCAGAATCAAGAGGCAAGTTTTCGGGCCAACGAAGCACAAAGTGTTCATCAACGACCATGTGGTCAGAGTAGCCCCCATAGTTGGTGATTCCATCTTTGTAGGGTGGTGGAGGACTGTCTGTGAGTTGGTGTGCAGAGCAATAATTTTCGAGATTGTTAATGCAATTCTCACATTTCCGACATGATCCAATCAAGGCTCCAACACCCACTTTGTCTCCAACTTTGAATTTTTGTACCTTGGCACCCACTTCTGTTACTATACCCACAATCTCATGCCTGCATTGATCAATTTAGTTGATACATACTACAAAAAACCGAGGAAAAGAAGTTTTCGTCGATAACAAAATATTCATCCAACTTTGGTCGAAGGAAATTTATTTTGTAGGGTTAAAATTAGTAGGGTATATGTGGGCGGAACATTCCCACATTTGTTTGCTACGTGTTACATTGAATTTGCAAATGGTTTAGTAAATAGAAGTCTAGTTTGAATGAATAAAAATCAAATTTTCGTAAAGGATGACCTTTACCGACTAATTTTTGGGTTTTCCCTCAAAAATGTTTCCTTAGTAAAAACCTTGTGCAGTAGTTTNAAAATCGAATTTTCGTAAGGGATGACCTTTACCGACTAATTTTTGGGTTTTCCCTCAAAAATGTTTCCTTAGTAAAAACCTTGTGCAGTAGTTTCTAAACAAAAATTACTTCTTGTTGATTAGAGTAATATCCTCCAAATATGAATAACTATAAAAGGAGAGACCGAACATACCCTGGGACATTTGGATACACTGTAACGCTCCATTCGTTTTTGTTCATCTCAAGGTCAAAGTGACAAATCCCACAATACAATACTTTCAACCTCACATCTTGATTACCAGTAGCTCTGCACCATTAGATCACACACATTCTCACCATCACTATTCAATTAATATTGTCATTTACACTAACTAATAACCAAAATCTTTTTTTTTTTCTTGCAAATGCACCAGAAATTTCAACAAGAGAGCAGCCCTAACCTTCTTGAAAACTTGAAGGGAGAGAGAACACCAGAAGGGTCTCTAGCTGCCCATCCAAAAGCCTCTACCTCCTCTGATTTTGCCATTAGGAAGAGAAAATAAGAATCTAGAGTGACTGGAGAATTGGTGTATGTGAATGGTGGTGACTTGAGGTTTGTGAGGTTGCATTGCTCTCTCTATATATGTGTGTATGTACAGGCCCCATAAGACCCTCGCGGGGCACGAGGTCTCATAAAAAGTATGGTCCCTTTGATATATTATAAGATCAACTTTTTTGGCAGCCATATGGTGTTCATGGTGGGTACTACCTACTCACAGTGCCATATATAGTATAGTTTATTATGCCAACAAAATAAGGGATAGCCATGGCTGGGTCACAAAGAAGACAAAAAATTTCTAACGATATAAATAAGGAAGAATTACATTCAAACATCCAAAATTTGTCATTTAATCACTCAGACTCTCTGGCAATTAAAATATTATACACAGACCCCATGCGTGTAACATTTAGACCTCTGCTGCTAATGTCAGTTAATATCTCCGTTAGTACATTATATCTAGACTCTTTGAAGTTTGTAGACTTATAATACTTAGACCCTTCAAGTTTAAAATGTTATAATTAGACAAAAAAAATACTCTAATCAAAGATAGAATATCAAATATTTTAAATTTTACAATCAAAATTCACGTTATATTGTATCATTTATTTTAAAAAAATCAAAAATAAAATTCTATTTTTTTGTTAAAAATTCATAATTAGTATACAATTATATTATCTTTTGAAATGAAACTAAAAAATAAAACAAGGAGTCTAAGACATTCATAATAGAATATAAATTTTATAACCAAAGATTTCTAATGATATAATTATCCCATTCCAGCTCTCACTAATCTTAATTTGAGCCTTCATGAATTCTTAATTTTTATTTTTTTTAAAATAGTATCTAAAATAAGAAAAGCATACGAGATATTCAATCAATTGCTATGCCTCAAAGCATTTTGGGAAGAACCAATTAGTTCTGCGAACATCATCAATAGAATCTAGCTGAATTCGGTATGTATTTGTCACACCCTAACTGACTTGGGTGTAAATGACCGGTCTTGATGGCACCTTGCACCAAAGCATGCCATAAGTTGGAATCAAGGTGATGCGACTAAATGGTTCGATAGATTGGGGTGAACCAAGGCAGTATGAGAACACTTGGTTGAGTATGACAACACGTGGTGGACTCAATTGAAGCAATGCGGGTGCATAGCTTCGAATTGCATGGCATGAGTTGAACCCAGCATGCACATTGGTTCGTGTAGCCAGGCTGACTGCTGAATGTGGGCACTTGACTGGCACATGACTGTTCAATACATGTGAACAGGAGGATGTGGACGGTTATGATGCTGAGACACAGTCAAGGTAGTTACTGAGGCAGTTCTGGGCGTCCCTAGTCTGGATTCAGTCTAGATGCATGCTGATGAAGGGCAGTTCCACAGCAGTTACTGGAAGTGGTGGAACTGTTTGCCAAGTGTCGCACATTGACCAAGCCTACTAGCCAGTATGAAATGGAATAGCAAAAACGTGTTTAATNTTGCCAAGTGTCGCACATTGACCAAGCCTACTAGCCAGTATGAAATGGAATAGCAAAAACGTGTGTAATTATCCCTTGGCAGATGGGGGTGTCATCTGCCTTACTCTTGTATAAATAGGGGTGCTTGAGCATTCTGATGGGGCAGAGTGTTCTGGCTTTGAGAGTCCTTGTAAATTGTTGAGTTCAATATATAAGATTTGAGAGTTTTGTCTCAGTAAATTCGTGTGTGCCTTCTATGTGAGTTTCTGTCCCTTATTCTTGAGTTTGAGTGTGGCTAGTTGTAATAGCAACGCCTTCACAGGTAGCCTCGAAAGAAAAATAAAAGTTACCATATGACAGTATTCTAGTATAGGGCAAAAGGATTGAGGTTCTATATTACATGCCAACACTACTCCACTAGTACAAATAGGCTATATAAAGTAGCTCATTAGTATTTTATTACTATCCCATATCACTATTCAGAGTAGGCTTGAATATTCTAGACATGACTTATAAACTAGACATGAAATTCATACAAAGTTTGTGAATTAGGGTCTAGCATTAATGGGTTCAAGGCGTAAATACGTGAACTTGTCTAATCTATCAAATATATAAATATACACAAGGGTGCAGCAAGGATTTCATACTAGGTTAATTGGGAGTGGGGACTGGAAACAGATTGAAGAAAAAATAATTAAATTAATAAATGTATATTAGAAAAAGTACGTTTGGATGTGAAAACTTAAATTAATGTATTAATGTATTGTTTCCACCCACTGCCAATCCTCCATAGCATCACCCAAACTCTTCATTTCTCCCCAATTTCAACCCGCAGTTCAATCTCTCGCTTTGTCATTTACATCCCCTAGTTTGCCATTTCCTACAGCCACAGAGCCTTGGTTTAATCTTGACTTTTCCAGTGAGCTATTTCAACAAACACCTTCACTTCACTTCACTTCAATTCTTTCTGTTACAACAACAATCCAAGACCTCATAAGGAAGTTTCTTTTTATCCAATTAGTTCATTGGACATGGGTATTGAGATGCCTGCAATCCAATCACCAATGCCGAAACCATCACCAATGCCAAAACCATCACCAACTTCGTCTGCAAACACTGGGAGTGGCTATATAATAGATGCAATATCAAGTGATGCTGATGAGTATGAAATTACACCAGAATTTCCACTAGGAAATAGTGGTTTGTTAGAAGACCTAGTGGAGGAATCTCAAGCTTTGACTCAGGCTGAGAAATCAAGGAAAAAGAAATCTCCGGCAGACAATGAAGCTAAAGTGAAATGTGTATTGGAAGAGGCGGTGGAAAACCTTTGGGAGAGTTCAATTTTTGCTCCTTCATCCATTGGTGAGTTTCTCATTGTCTAAGCTATCGAAGAATAGGGCTACGGGGACTTACAGAGAGCTATCGGAGGGAGTGAGGAGAAAATGAGAAGTAATTTTTAAAAGTAAAAGTTAATTATATTTACTTTTTTTTATTAACTTATTTAAGTGCTCAATTACTTTTATTTATCAAAAAGTGTTTTTAACAAGTTAAGCCAAACACTATTATTTTTAAAAAAGTATTTTTCATAAGTTAAAAGTTCCAAAAAACACTTTTTTTTTAAGTCGTGTCAAACACACTCTAAATTATTATACGTGTAGTAAAATCAGTTTTTATTCAAACAACATGAGATTTGAACAAAAACTACAAAACAATAACTTGTAGTTGGTATATTTTAGTTGAATCATATATTAAAGTTAACAAAAATATTCTTTGAAATCTCTCATTTTTTTATATTTAATTAATTGTAAGCTTATCTCCAAAAAAAAATTAATTGCAAGCCAAATTTTTTACTAATGTTCTTTTAATTCACACAATCCCAGAGTCCGTATCCTTCATTTTAATTTGCAAAACTTATTTGAGTTTTTTCTCAATCTTGTTGAGAAATTGATTATTTGATATACAAGAGAAAACTTTTAGGTTACAACAGTTTACTATTACATTTAATCATGCTTTATGGATTATAGGCAACTAACATGCTAAAAGAAAAGTAAATATCAAATATATAAAATAATTTTAAAAAATAGGAAGTGTTAGATTAGATAGAAGAGTAGTGTCTTTGGTCAAAATGAAAATAGGTCAAGACATTTCAATTTTAGTTTATTCAATCGAAAAATAAGATATTTATTTTAGGGGGGCAATGAGTTTCTATTTAATCAAAAATAAAAAAATCAGGGCCATGATAGAAATTTGAAAAAAGAATTAGGGAGGCAAATATCATAAATTTCATAAAATTGTAGTTTGTCCAATTTTTTTGGCAAATAGTTTGTCCTTTAACTATTGAGTTTCTCAAAGTACCTCCTGGACTATTTGAATTACTTCACATTATCGTAAACAAAATGTATGATATGTTTTCGATGGAAAATGCCTAAATGCGTAGTAAAATTTCTAACAGACAAAATTTGGCAATGTAAAACCAAAAATTTGGGAATCTGTCCTTTAACAATTTAGTTAGACATGTTGCTAGTACTGAATTTTTTGTGTATGAAACATTATGTTTTCTTCACATGATATTTTCATTGAGTTGTATATCTCTTCTCCTACCAATCTACATAATATTATTTTATCTTTTCTCATTTTTGACTTGTTTGGNAGACTACAAAGAATAGATCCACCATCAAACTCAACAAACTTTACATAGAGTCAGCCTGTCTCCTACTTTCTTATCTTTTCCTTCTTAATAAATTTACTTTTTGTTGTAATTCGTCGCTACAGTGATCTTTACTGCTTTCATTTAATGTTAAGTATAGTACTCTTTACATTTTCCAAGTTTAGTTTACCTACTATTTTTATACATTGCAACTTTATTTCTACGTTCTAGTCTGTTTTGTTGCTGGTTGTGAAATTATTTAAAGTTCTTAATCTTGAAGGCATAGAAAAAAACTCAAAGATAGTTTTACGTCTTGTTACAATCACCTAAACAGTCATAATTTTAGAATCTCACACCGGTTCGAATAGATAAAGTCGCACATATTTGAATTTTAAATTCAATTAAACTTTGACACGCTCGTAATTCAAAAATATGCCAAACAGAAAGGATGAGAGCATGGAAAGCACCCAAATCTAATCAGGCAAACAAGCATAAGGTAGTCATAATTAATTAAGGGGAAAATACCTAGGAATGCATTCCCACTAGTACGACACCCCCTTTTAATTTTGTCTGGATACTCTTAAAGTTATCAATTTTGTCCGATTACTTAATCCTCTTGGTGTTATAATTGCCATGGTCACTTAATTGACTATTTTTTAAATTGAACAAACACAGAGAGAATGTGGCGAAAGATAACATGATCACTTAGAGTGCTCTAATCGAATAGTGGTGAAAGAGAATGTGTAACGGTTGTTTGTTTGATCTGAAATTTAGACCAAACATTTGAAAAATATACATGCAAAACTGAGTTCCATCCTGTACACTGTTCAAAGATCAAACCGTTGTCCAAGCCACTTTTTTCGGAAGGTAAAGTGTGTTA